CCCCGGCCCTGGTCCCCTCCACCCCCAGGACAGCCCCCCTTTACGGAAGCCCGCTCCCCGCAGCTCTGGGCACCTCGGGTTTCACAGGGGTGGGGGACCCCGAGGGGGCGGCCGGGCCAGGAAACGACGTCTCCCAAGGAGAACAATGACTGCTCCAAACACTCCCGGGTACGAAAGTCCGTGCAGCTCACCTGGGGCGCCTCCGTCGGCGGCCTCGAGGCCATTCCTGCCTCGCCGGGCCCGGCTCCCAGACAGAGACTGGGGAGAGAAGAAAGGGCGCACTCACCGCGCTGCACCCGCCGACCCCCACCCCGTCCCGAGGGGCCCGCCTCCGCCCCGCAGACACGTCTCCCGGGAGAGAGGTGGAGAGGTGCCTGGGCCCCGCGTCGGCCTGCCGCACCCCCTCCCCCAAATTAAACGCCTACCTAGTCCAGGACACCCTCCTCTGGCCACGCCCAGTCCCACCCGCAGGATGGTGGGCGCGGCCCCGCAGACACGCGCCAAACTCGTGGGAGGTGCCGCTCCGACCCGCACACTCGGAATCACTGCCTCCTGGAGTTTCCGGGTTTTGCGATCTCAGGCCCACCCAAGGTTTGGGCCGGCTCCTCTCGCCCCCGCCTCCGGCTCAGTCCTCTCCAATTCTGCTGTGCGGAGGTGAGGCCCTAAGCCTCCTTAGCCGCCCCGGGGCTGGACAATGGCCGCAGCGACGGGGCAGAGCCGGAAGTGCGCCTGCGCACGCGGAGTCTCGCTCCAGCAACCCAGGGGTCCGGCGAGCGCGCGGACTACACTTCCCAGAGGCCCCCGCGCGCGCCCCCTCAGAGGCCGCGGGGGAGTAAGGCGCACATCTTTCCGGGCGCAGACGGAGCTGGGATTGAATACTGTAATGTCCATCTCTTCCAATTAGTCACAGCGCTCCTCTTGCGCCTGGGCATGTTGGTAGGGGCGGGATACAGCATATATCGCTCAGAAAAGACCCGGCTTTGGGGGCGCGGCTTGCACTCCTGTGGAAGAGGGCAATACGTAAACAGATCAACAAAATAATTTCAGAGAGAGAAACATCTATTTGTTGTTTCACTTACTTATACATTCATAGGTTGATTCTTGTGGGTGCCCTAACGGGGGATTGGACCTACAACCTTGGCATTTCAGGACTACAAACCAACTGAACTACCCAAGTGTGGACTTTGAGTGTGTTGGGAGCCACTGGATTAGCAGCAGCAATGGAATCACTACTACGAGGGGAGAAACCAAATGAATCACTTACTACTAGGAGGGGAGAAACTTTTCCTGTTGTCCCAGAAATGGTAACCAGTACCCCGGGCTGAGATTAAATTATTCTGCATTCTAAAGAGAGATAAAACATTTGGGGATAGATACTCTCAGATCTTACAAACGGGTTAGGTGCTGAATTTGCCCGGCTACTGTTATTAATCATGGCCCAACATCACCCCATTACCCCTATAAAGAGATTAGGATGGGAGAAAGAAAAGGAAGAATTCCGCAGAGTAGCAAGGCCTCCACCTAGTGGGGAATGTGATGTTCTACTGCCCACCTCCAAGATAAATGTAAGAAAGCAAGCCGCTCTAACACTGACAGCACCCAGAGAAGGGGAGGGTTTATATACTACCCAGTGCTTCCCAGATCAAGGGAAATGGGGATTAGAGAACAGGCTGAGTGTAAGGAGAGCAACGTGAGTATTCATTGTTTGTGTAGTAAGTGGATGAACTGGAAAATAATTGAGCTTTAACCAGCTGGCCCCTGGGGTGGGGGTGAGGGCAGCTCAGAACTGTAAGAAGTTTTGGGATTAACTGGGGGAGACTGAAGTGGAGCCAGATCTCCCAAGTCAGGTATCCGTGGGTTTCTCTAAGGAACTCACAAATGCACGTCTGTTCCCACCAGCGTGGCTAAGCAACTTTAGTGGTGGATGAAATTGTTTTTTAAATCTTTAAAATGCATTGGTAAGCTGGAAAATTCATAAGGCATGCACCGAGGCCAAAAATTAGGCAAAAATAATAACTTAGAGAGGTAGATGAAACACTGAGAGCTAGTTTTCACCTGGAAATCATTTGCCAAAGAGCTTTGTTTTTCATGGTCCTATAGGCACCAGGTGAAACTCAAGTGCCATACACACACATATCAATACAAATTGGAACTTCAAGACCCTGGCCAGTGTGGCTCAGTTGGTTGGACCATCGTCCCATATACAAAAAGGTGGCAGGTTCAATACCTGGTCAGGGCACATACCGAGATTGTGGGTTTGATCCCTGGTTGTGGCACATGAGGGAAGCAAGCAATCGATATTTCTATCTCACATTAATATTTTTCCTCTCTCCTTTCCTCTTTCTAAAATCAATGAGAAAAAACATTTTTAATTGGTACTCCATGGGTGAACACAGGTAAATTGCCTGTTTCAAATCTTGGAACCTGAGAATTTGTTAAGTATAAGCTGGTCCCTAATTGGATTTGCAGCCTGAATTCACAGTCCCTAGGTCCTCTAAAAAGCTGCAAACTGAGAATGTATGTATTGGTCCCAGCTAACAGTGCTTCCAGGAACCTGGCAGAAGTGAACACACATCCTGCCTGGAGGAACTGGCCTTCAGCCCAGGCTTCCCCAAATATGATACCAAGAAATATGAGCTCAGAGTCTTGAATTACAAAACACATATAAGAAACAAGGACCCATGAATGACAGACAGTAGGAGAAAATAGCAGAATCAGATTCATAACAACCTCTAATATAGGGAGATTGGCAGGGGCCTCCAGGTGCCCCAGTGATGCCCCTAAACCTCTTCACACGCTGGGTCCTTTGTCCCTGCCTGGGCCTTTGCCTGAAACTGATGGCTACTGACTTGGTGGTATCCGGGACGCCATGCTTGGGCGTTCTCTGAACCTACCTGCCTTTTCTAGGGATAACATAGCGTCATGGTCCTCGGTTACCATGGCGACCCGCCAGTTGGCTTAACCTCTGTTGCCCCCTAGTGGACACCCAGGACACCTGCAAATCCATCATTTCCCTTGAGGGGCGTGTGTTCCTCTTGGCAGCTCTGTCTAGAGAGAGGTGATGGCTTGTGACATGGTCCGCTGTACTGCTAGACTAGACCCTGTCCTTAGCCTTGGCTTCAGTGAGTCCGCTCCCCACCCCGCGTCTTTAACCATTTGTCTTCTCTGCCCTGGGGCCAGGCTTCTCTGTCTTTGTCACCTAGACACAATAGCCCTAACCAGCCAACCCTTTCAACCAGGCTCCTGGGGACATAAGAAGGGCTTTTACCCAGGTACTTCCACAGCCCCTTAAAGACTGCAAAGTCTGATGTGATGTAAACTAAAATACCCTTCCCTTGGCCAGCCCTCCCTCCCTCCTCCCCCTCCCCGCCCCGCCCCTAAGCAGCCCTAGATCCAGACCTCAGCTTCTGGCGCTACTTCTCCATATGGACCTTGTCCAGCCTTAGGATGAGATCCCATAGACAGGACAGCCTGGCCAGAATCCAGGTAGGCATGAGTGTGGTGGGGGGGGGGGGGGGAGGAGCATCACCAGAGCTGGACACGGCAGCCTTAGGTGGGAGATGGGCAAGCATAGAGACAAGCTGACCCTTGGGGGTGGAGACGAGCAGTGACAAGGTTGGTGGAACAGGATGTTTGAGGAGCATGCATGGGGAAGACCCACTACAGCCTGAGCCAGAAAGAATGGCTCCTTGGGGAAAGTGATGCTGAATTGAGCTCTAAGGATGAATAGGCATCTGTCGTTGGAGTAGAGATTTCAGTGGTGGTGAGCTTTAGGTGGGCTAACAGGTCCTCTCTTCAGAGTTTTCCTTCCTGAGGGATTATTTCTCACCAGTGATCCACTGATCCTGCATCTCTTTCTTGCCCTTTCCCACTTCTAATCCTGTCCCCCTTTCCTGGGCAATCTCCTCCAGCCTCATGATTGTAACCAGCACCCCTTTGCTACATGTGATCCATTGTACCATGTCACATGTAGTCTCTTCTACCCGGACTGCTTCTGACTTGCTTGCCTACCTAGTGAACTCTTATTCATCCTTCAAAACCCAGCTTAATGTTTACTCCTTTCTGGTGCCTTCTCAGAACCACCCTTCCAACCATGCGTTTTCATTCGACAAATTTCCATTGAGCACCAAGTGTTAGGTTCAGAATGTGGCCCTACATTGTAACTTTCTATTTACTTGACTGTCTCCCCAGTTGACCAGGATCTCCTGGGGGCAGGGGCAGGTAGGGCTGAGTCATTTATTTTCTTAATCCTTAGGCTTTAACATGCACTCCATGAATGAATGAATGGCTGGATGAATGAATAAAAGTACAGCTCCTCATTGTAAAACAACAAACAAGAAACACCCAAGTCAACAGGGCTGGCACTCTCCGGTTCCCGTTTCGGTCCCCTAACACTGTCCCAAAAGAACTTGGCCATATGTTATTAAATTAAAGTGAATTAAAATTTGCTTGAAATAACCACACACTCCCCCGCTTCCCTGAGCCTATAATGACCAGATTACATCTCCTCCAGGCACAGAAGTTTGACATTTCATTGCAAAGTCATTTTCTTCCCATTTCCTTATGTTGCTAAAATATTCTATTTCTCTTCACATTCCCTTTGTGTTCCCATTACTCAAGTTTAGTTAAATTTGTCTGCTGTCATTTAATCATCTGAGATAGGCCTTGCCAGTGTGGACGTTCCTAGGGTACTGCCTGGCCATCTGTCTCCTCCTGGGCCAGCTGAGAACAGGACCCAGATCCCTCCCCCAGGGCTTCTGGCCTGACCCTCGGACCCTAGGTTTCTCCCCAGTGCAACTCGGACTCACTCCCTCTAAACCCACTGCCTTCCTCTCTCCAGCCTTCTCCTCTTCTGTTTCCTGGGGCAAAGGTTTTCATTCTGCCTCCAGGCCTGGCACTACCTGAAACGCTTTTGGTCACAGTGAGCAAGGGGCCTCATAATTCTCTCAATGGGTTCCCTGATTAAGTCCTTAACAGGAAAAATACACAACAGGGCAGCCAATGTGGGGGTTGCTTGATGCCTGCTTGGGACACTGCCACCATCATGCTCCTGTGGCTGGGACACCTTTCTCCCTCTCACCCACCCACCTGGCCTCACAATGGAGGGGTGGAAATAATTCTTCTCCCTGAAGAGAGTTGGCAAAGCCCAGAAAGGCCCGTTTTGGCTTGGAGTGGAATCCCGGGGTGGCTTTCGATAACTGTGTCACTTAGGGGTTGCCTTGGGGACTTAGGGCTTGGGACTTGTCAGGACAGGGGCAGTGGGAGGCAGGATCAGAAGCCCGGGATGGCTTCCATGTATGGGGCTTTTGCAGCGTGCTGGACTGGTGGGCATATTGGAGGCTTGGGGTTGTGACTCTCCTGTCCCCAGGTGATAGTGCAGGATGCTTCTCCTCACCTCAAGCTTGGGGAAAGAGGCGTCTGTAAGACACTCACAAAGCTCAACACATGTCCTCTGGAGCTTCAGGGATACAGTGAACTGGGCTGGCTGATGCCAGAGAAATCTCAGTGGCAGGAGACAGGAGAGTAGATGGCTTCGCCAGGCAGCTAGGAAAGTAGCCGTATTGGGACCACGTGCAGAGGTCATGAGGGCAAAGGATGAGCAAATATCTTCAGTGGATGAGAGGTGGCCGCTGACATGAGAGAGCCAGAGTAGGGTCATCTTCCAGCCTGATCTAGGAAGTCTCCTGGAGGAAGAAAGCCGGAAGTCACTGCC